TGTCCGCTCCACCAGCCACCTCTTCAGCTGGGCTGCGACCTCTTTCGTGGCAACCCGGAGTTTCTATTATTCATCAAGTGTTATTCCAGATAAGCGAGGCAGTGTTAAAAAGCAATTAAAATCCTCAGGTTGTGCATTAAAAAAAAAAAAAAAAAAAGTAATTTAAAACTGTTTAAACATGTTTTTGACATTTTCTAAATTAATAATCAGACTCTTCCTCCCCACTTCTCACAGTTCATAAAATTTAATAAGGGCTACCATTTTAAGGAAATATTTTAAACTATGCTTTTTTTTTTTTTTTTTTAAGGGGCATTTTTTTCGGGCTTCTCCTTACAGCTGTGACTTGCCATCACGCTCCATGACCAGGAACATCATCTGCAAAACCCACCATGGGCTCTGGCTTCTGGAGCCTGTTCCACAGGAAGGGGGGCTGTGGAAATCCTTCAGTGCTGTCCCCTCTCCCATGTTTTAGGTTGAACGCAGGGTTATTTCCAGGTCTCACCATTTCCTCTGAGCTTTTTTTATCCCTGGTAAAACTGTCAGGAGCATTCAGGTGTGGGGGAGAGGAGGAAATGGAAATGGTGATGGTTGTATTGCAGGTATGCTAAAGGGAGCAGAATGGCTGCACTTTTTTCCCCCCATTCTTTTTGTGATCTCTCAGGCCATGACCCCATGGAAGAGCAAACTGTAGCAAGCTGCAAAAAATACAAAAGGAAAAGCACAAAGCTTCAAAACAATCCCTAAAGTAACCCAGGCTCACATGAACCCACCAACTTCCTTTCAAGTGAACGGGGACAACACTTCTGGGCCTTTCCAAATTTCCCTTTTAACTGCAAAGCCTGCTTATTCCTCCGCAGCTGTCATGGTTGCACTTCTCCCCGGTTTGTGCCTTGGGTATCACTTCTCTTCCTCTGCACCTGGAGCCTGAAATGACTGCAGCCCTGCTTGGAGGCTGAGGATGGAGGCAGCGTGCAGATGGAGGCTGTGTGCGGATGGAGGCTGTGTGGCTACGGCCGCCTGTTTGCTTGTCTCTCTGCAATCTCCTGCCGCAGGCTCCAGAGGCTTCTGTTTGCACGGCACAGGCTCAGACCCTGGGCTTTAAGGATAAGGCAGATTTTCTTCTGATTAAAGACTTTGGTAAGATTAAAGACACACAGCCGAGGCCCAAGTCAAAGCTGCAAAGCAAAGATCATTCAGCAACTTTTCATTTTTTATTTTTTATTTTTTTTGTCACTTCTCCTGTGTTTTTAAACATGCAAACCGGAAAAGACAATAACCTGCAGCCCCTGGTCCTGCCTGGGTCTGGCTTTGTTCCAGTCTGTCCCCACTTTCTCTGCTCTCCCACTTCCCAGCACTTGTCCCTGTCCCACAGGTACAAACCTCCCCATCCTCCTCCATGTCCTCAGCCTGGACAATAGCAAAGGGTTCTCCACCTCCCTGGAAAGGGATTTTTCCCCAGGACCTTGGGCAAAACATGCTCTTCTCATGTAGCTACGTGGCCAGGCTGGTTGGACAAGCAGGACAAGACACATCCACCTTCTCCAAAGCCAGGCACGTGGGTGGAGGCCGGGGACATCAAACCCTGCCTGTCCCTCCCCTCCTTGTGCCCACAGGATGTGGGACCATTTGGTAACATCTCCCCAAAAGCTGCACCATTGTTCCCAAAAGTGCTGTTGCGGGTTCTCCAGCAGAACACAGCACGTGCCCAGGAAAACGTTTCCAGTTGCCTGTTTCTCTCACCTTTTGCAGAACTTGTCCACCAAGTTCTTGATGTCCCCTGTCCTACCAGAGCCCTACAGGACCCTGCTGTGGGATAGACAGAGCGTCCTCCTCTCCTGCTCGCTTTGTGTCCCCGCGTGGTGTTGCCTGAACAACCAGGAGGCATCTGAGCAATGTCTCCGTTCCCTGAGCTGGAAATATTCATTCTGAAATAAAAAGAGTTTCTGAGCTGAAATAAAGAGTTTCTGAGCAGAAATAAAAAGGGTTCAGGAACAGCTTCCCCACCACTGCCTCCTCGCTTCCAGTCCTTCCTTGCAGACAAAACCCCGCCGAGCTGCAGCCCGGTGCTGGGCCGTTTGTCCTTCCCTCGCCCCGTCCCTGCGCCACGGACCCCATCTCGCCGCCTCCTCGCCTCCTCCTTCGCAGGCACCCGCCCGGCGCCGCCGCCTGTGCGAGAGAAACCTGACACACTCACACGCAGATCAAACAGATGCTGCCTGTCACAGAGCTTAAAGCCTAATTACAGGAGATTACAGAAACTATTTATAAATATTTATACCCATTTAAATATATTTATAAATGTATCAGGATTGGATAAAAGTGTATATTGTTATTTTAGCTTAAGACAGCCGAATATCACTTATACAATGCTCATACAGTAATCATATATTTGTATTAATCTTCTTTTTGATTAACGTGGACAGCAGCTGTTAACATTTGAATTGCTGTTAATACAAAGTAGGTTGGCACCAATATGCTAAGGAGAACGAGTGGTAGACACTAAGACGTCTGGAGGCAACAGAGCAAATACATCAGAGCAGAAAACTCTTCCCCGTCACAGGCTGGGTAGAAATCCTCCCAGTTCACCAGCAAGGAGACTGGGAATATATAGCTAGGGTTATGAATCTTGTCGCATGGTCGATCTGCTGAGTTATTGTGGCAATGTGCTGCCTGCCTTCCCCATCATCCGCTCGCATCGCGCCTGCGAGCACCCACAGCAGCGGCACAGCTCCCACCTCCCGAGGGCTCCCTGTGTGTGCCAGCTCTCACAGCGCCCAAACACGGTTCTTGTGGCACCCAGGGGCTGTGTGTCCTCGCAGCTCGATGCTTCTGTGCTCACGCTGGTAGCTGTGGAGTGAGATGTCCTCAGGCATGGCCAGGCGCACGGCCGGGCTGTGCTTCTCGCACCGCAGCAGCTTTGTTCCTCCATCAGGTGCTGGGGAAAGGCTCTGTTTGGAAAGCCAGGTCCCAGACTGACACGTTTCCAGGAGCTGTGTGAAATCCAGAAGGTGGGAGAGGAGCCAGCCCTTCCCTGGTGCTCTCACTGGAAGCACGGTGAGGACAACCCAAGCCCTCCCTTAGCTTGCTGCCTGCAGGAGCACACCGAGGATGTGGCTGGGGGCCACCAGCCTGCAGGGAGCTCTGGACTGGGCCCCTGCTGGCTGGTGGGTGGCTCAGGATGGATGTGGGCACACCGAAGGGGAAGGGTGAGGGAAGCATGGGGCTGTCTCATAAAAGATGTGAGATAATTTTGGGAAAGCCTGGAGCAGCAGCTGGTGCCCAGCGAGGTGCTCACCATGCCACCAGCTCCTGCTCCACAGCTGGACCTCCGCTGCCAGCCCCCATCCCCATGGAGAGGTGCTGCCAGCCCATTCCTTGCTCCTTCCAACCTCTTTTTTTTTTTTTTTTTTTTTTTTCCTTTTCCCCCTCAGGAGAAGACAAAGCAGGAAGCTCACTCCATGCTCCCGGCGGGGCGGTTTTGAGCAGGACAATCCCTTTGGTCAGGCATCAAACACCAGCATGCGAGCCATCTGCTTCTCTGACTGAAACACCCAACGAAAAGCTGCTGGATTGGAAAAAGGATATTAATCTGAAAAGCGTACAACAAAGCGACTGCAGGGTGTTTCCTCCCCCCCCCCCCCCCCTCGAGCCAGAGCGAGCGAGGGAAAGCTGATTACCATGACACACAGGAGCCCTGATCTAATATTCCACTTCAAGATTTGCAAATAATGTGCCCATTAACATTCATTAGCTCTTTAAATAATACCTGCCAGACCTTCCAGGCAAGGAGGAAAGGCCCCTGCGCCCAGAAATCAATCACGCAACAGCCTCTAATTGTGCCTTTTCCACATTTACGCAAAGTTTCAATAAAAACAGGGCCAGGGCAGTTGCAGAGCTGAAGCTGCCGCTGCTGCACGCCCATGTGCAGAGCTGCACAGACATGCCCGTCCTGCTCCCGGCTGCAGGACGAGGATCTTTGCTAATTAGTGGGCTTCTCTCTGCAGGGACATGTCACGCTATCCTTCCACCACCTGAAAGAGCTCCTGTCCTCCAGCTCGTCATGGCAGCCTGCTGAGAAGAGCGTGGTGGCGTGGCCCAGGAGAGGGTGCTTTCACTTGAGGTCTGGGGAGCCCCACCTCAATACGCTGATGCAGGAAAGTTTGAGGGGCCATCCTGCTGCCCCAGGTGGAGTAACACCCGAAAAGAGCTGGAAAACTGATGGCTTGAGGTCAAACTGTGATACCACCTACGAACAACATCACTCTCAATTTATCACCCTATGGCATCACCTGGAGTCCTTTGCATTCCCTCCAGAAGGGGCAGAGCCTCTGCTGAAGGCAGATGGGGAGTAGTTACATTTAGAAAGTGAGACCAATACCCCAAATTCTGCCTTCTCACTGAGCTGCAGAGCCATTCTGCATCCTTCAGCTCTTCCTGCCTGAGGATTTCTGCTGGCACCCACAGGAAGGTGATCGGGTCCCAGCCCAAAGCTCTACAAAGCTGTTTTCACCCCAAAGAAATGGGAATTTTGGACTGGACATCCCTTGGGGACACGAGACAGGGCAGCTGAGGTTTGCCATTGGAAGGAGGCTTTCACAAAGGCCTGTAGGTGTTCCTAGGCAAGACAAGAGGCAGGCTCTAACCCTTGTGTGCAGCCGTCCCGATCGCAGCAGGTGAGCAGGGTCAGCCCCCGACGGGCACAGCAGCTTTCTGGGTTAGCCACCATCAGCACGCTGGGTCACCCTGCCAGCACTCTGTGAGCAAAGTTGGGCACTCTAAACCTCAAATTAGCAGTCGGAGCAAGCTCATTCTGGGTTTGCCTGGTGCTTCAGTGCTTTAAAAGAGACACATGTATGAGACCAGATGAGTAGGTCCCTTCGCGCGAGGCCACGAGCAAGCCTAGAGGCATCAGAGGGTCTGTAGCACATCTTCACGTTGCTTAGGAAATGGCTCAGCGTTGTCCCAGATGTTACAGTCAAAGCAAAAATCCTGTTTGGGAAAGGCAAAGCCTTCCTTGTGCAGCAGGGAGACAGCTGAGCACTGTTACAGATGCATTTAATCAGCCCAGAATGAGTTTAACTGAGGAGTTAATAGACAACCTAATTAGTGACTTGTCTGTGGTCTAACTAGCCAGGTCAGGGAAGGGCACCGAAAGAGAAGTGATGGATTCTGCAAAGGGTCTGCACTTCCGCAGGATTAATGAAAACTGTGTTCCCTGTATGAGAATATTCTCGATCAACAAGAGGAATGGAGGAATTTTTTCAAAGTGTGAAGGTGAAATACAAAGAGAAATAGGGGACAAGTTATTTTTTTAATGTGCAAATGATAACAGTGCATGCATAAGTATCTCTCTCTCGGCAGATATTGCAAAGAAATGCAGAAGCAAAATGAGTTTGAGCGTACTTAAAGGGCAGTGATCTGATGAAGATGAGAAATGCAGAGTTAATGTTCTCTCCTGGATTTCTTCACAAATTTACCAAGCAAGATTTCCGCAGACTTCTTCACATCCCTGGAAACAAGGAAAAGGGAATTTCCAGCAGCAGAGTGAAGAGATGGATGTTAGCATGATGCTGTGGCGGGTAAAACAGACGGGGACCACCACTGGCGATGCAGGAAAGGGAGAGCAGGGAGAGCATCCTTCCCCACCCTGAGCTTGGCTCTGCTCCCGCTGGGCTCAGGTCCCCAGCTCAGTGCCCTGCAGCCGTCCCCTCCTCAGACCTGCTCTGCCTTACTCCCGAAAGTGCCCTCGGAGCCGTCCTGCTATCTCTCACCAGCTCCTATCTAATTTATCCTGCCAGCTACCGAAAAGTTATTTAATCTAAAGCTCCTGTAAAAAGGAAAAAAACCCTGTTTTGTGCTATGTCCTCTCCATCCCCTCATCCGATGCCTGTGTGAACATGGATAAAATCACTATTTAATAGCGCTGGTCAAGCCCTGCTGCTTGTTCAGGAAACTTGCTGGCAGCGTGTTTGGATCAGCTATTAAAAGTTTGTATGAAACTTGTGAACATCTTGCAGTCCACGAGGAAGGACAGAAGCATCTGTATGGCAGGGACAGCCCGAGATGGGTCTGCATCCACCTTACACCAGTGCTGCACAGGAGAACATCACAGAGATGGGGATTCACCCAGCCAGGTTATGGGGCTCCTGTTGGGGGAGTCTCCTCGGTTCCCCTTGGCCTCGGAGGAGATAAACCAATGGTTCTGGAGCCGTGGGGCAGTGTCCATGACCCAGCTCCTCCTAAAGCAGAGAGGGGCTGGGTGGGGACCCTGCAGTGCACCCAGCCCCTGGCTGCTGCCCATGGGGCTTGCTCGTACCCAAAGGAGCTTCCCGGAGCCCACAGGTGGAACCAAGGCAAAGTGAGTCATGGAGAACAGATGAAGACATCACTCCAACATCTCTCTGAAGGTGGCAAAAGCACAGCTTGGATAAGTTTCAGGAGGGTTAAATTTATCCTAGAACAGTTTTCAGCTGTCTTCCCCTGCAATCCCTCCCCAAGGTTTTTTTTTTTTTTTTTTTTTTTCCTATCCCTTTTGCAGTCCCTGAATCATCAGCCTCTAATTATTGCCTGCAGATAAACATACACTTCTCCCTGGAAGAAGTCCATATTTTTTTTTTAAAACCTAAAATTGAGGGCAGTTAGCAGATGCTTGGGTAGTGTGAACGCCTGCAATACATTATTAAAACAAGCTCTCACCCCTCTGCTTTGAGACAGTTGACACTGCTTTCTGTAACACTTAGGCTTTTTGGAAAGTTTTTGTAATCCCAGGCAGATAACAATCTTCAGTCTGAGGAATGTCAGACCGTGTAATTTAACGGCCCTTTCTGGCACTAAAATCAGGGAGTCAATGAAGATTTCTATGCAGTGCATAGCCTCAGCTAAATGCTCCTGCAGCCATTTAAAGCAGGAGTGGAAGAGCAGAGACATAAGGGAGCCCTTTCCAACTTCACAATTACATCCTGTCGCTTGTGCTGGGTCCCCTGGGAACATTTAATGATGCTGGAGACTCGGGGCCCAGGGCAGCAGAACCCTACTCCTGTGCTGTCCTTATGTCTTTAACATCTCTGCACCCACCACATTTAAAAGCTGGAACAAGGACTAGATTAAGCCACCGGCAACAAATCATTCCCAAGTAATTGCAGTATTAAAAATCTTTGTGTTACAGTTATCCATAAATAAAGAGTTCTTGTAAAAAAAAAAAAAAATTAAACCCCAAAGCCATTGCATTTTATTCCTTGACTTATAACCTTATGGAATCCAAAGAGGTTTTCTATCTATTCTGATTTAAAGCTTCATTTGTGACAAAACGGCATTTTGATAGAAAAAAATCTTTTTAAAAACACCTAGCTCCAATATTCGATAACTCATAAAAATGAAGGAAGATATATTTGTATTAATATATCTGAAATGTATAACCTATTAAATATAAGCAATATAGTGCTAAACTGAAGTAAAATGATTATAATACCAATATAGGGAACATAATATCCAAAACAACACTGGATATTCATGAAGCAGCAAGGCTTGTTTACTGCACCAAGTTCCCCATTGCTGATCTCTAGCACTGCTGGTATTTGAATGGCCAAATAAGCCACGCAGGCTTTCACAACACGATTTTCACAACGTGGGGCCCGGGAACGGCTGCTGGCTTCACGGTGAGCCACGATGGGGGTGATGGACTTGCTGGGCTTGCTGTGGCCCAGGAGCTGATTTTAGCTCATTTCGGCTGTGTTCACCATAATTCAGTGGCTATTGCCCAACTTGTTCCAGCTTAGCCTGTGTAGTTTGCAGCAAACCTCAGCAGTGCTTGTGCAAATGCTCTTTACGTTCATCCAGGCTTGGGGGCTTTTCTGTGACTTTCAAGCCTTATTTAGGAAAAAATAGCAGTGAAGAAAAAAAAAAAAAAAAAAAAAAAGAGCAGGCTGCATTCAAAGCAGATTAAATGTAACACTGAGCAGTGCAGCCCAGGGAGGGGACCCTTGCAGCAGCCCTGAAGTCCTCCCAGCAAAGGGTTTGAGATGCCTTCAGTCCACCTCGACATCTCGACCCATTTTCTGCCCAAGGAGGACCGATGCCATCAGGCTTAGGAACAACAGAAGGGTGAGCATAACCTCAGACAGAGACCAGCAGGGCTTTTATAACTATTATTAATGATGCTCTTCCATATTAATTTGGACCATGAACGTCAGTATGATTGTAACTGGAATAATAACTGTTTGTTATATTTTGATTAGGCTGTTAAGGCTGTAATTAGGCTAACAATAAATCCGTAGCTCCACGGAAGAGGTGTTCCCGATTTTCCCATAATGACATTTCCAGCCTGACGAGGCAGGGCAAGGGGCAGTGGGGCAGACGCGGCTCCCGGCTGCCACCATCCGTGACACCCCCGAGCAGCCCAGAATCGCCGGGGGACCTTGTTACGGCTTTGAAAAGGAGCTCGCTGCCCGGTGCTGACATCTGAACGCACGGGAGAGGGATGTTTGAGGATGGCCTCGTAGTTAGCAGGTCAGCGAGTCTGCACCTCGCACAAATCATTATTGGTCGGTGCTTCAATTAAAAGACAAGGCAGGATAACTTGTAGCTGTACAATTAATCAGAGGTCAGAGATGGCTGGAGCTGTCTCACCCAAACCGGTAGGACATTGCTGCTTTTATATTCCCAGAAACAGGGAGCTGTTAAAACCCAGAATGCACTTTGTTCCCTTCCGTGGTGGCACAGAAAGACCTGCCCCAGATGGGCATTTCCTAAATTTTGCCCACAGATGGGGTCGTGCCCTGATTAGCAGCTGGCAGCTTTGCCAAGGAGAGGATCACAGTGGGCATCACCCATAAGAGAGGGAACCGAGCACCCGTGCTTCACTCAGCTCTCCTCTCCCTGGGTGACAGCCGAGGGAGGGAGCAGCCAAGGGGAGCTGCCATCAATCCATCGGGTGGAGCCTCAAGTTGCCTCCGAGACGAGCATCCCATTAACTTTGTTCCTCTGAAATCCTATTTAGGGAACCGGCTTGTAAGATGCGGAGAAACAACAATGTGACTTTCATATCACTTTGTGAGAAAACTACTTGAATGCGCTCTTAGTTTATCTTGAGAAACCAGTCACTGCAACTGCAAGCCGGAGCTGGAGAACTCACTTTCATGCTGGCTCCAATTGATAAGCCCCAAACCGAGCTTGATAGTTGTGTCTTGTTTACCCAAGTGACAAGACGATTCTTTGTGTCCAAATGCTCCTCTGGAAGCGCATACCTTGGGTAAAGCCTTGCCAGGGACTTTGGTTTTTAATGCTCTCCTTAATTCACGAGGAGGGGAACGGCTGCTGTGCGGGAGCAGTACCAATGCGAAGAACAACCTGTGAACATGAAGCCTGGAAGCAATCACAGCCTCGGCTTGCCTGGTTTTATCTGTTAATAGTTGTTGCCTGCTCAGCACACATGTTCTCAGTGGTAAAAATCTGTTTTGGTGGAAAGCTGCCGCCTGTCCCCACATAGCGGTGGTGCTGTGGGAACAAGCTGGAGCAGCGCGCCGTGGTGCAGGGCACAGGTCCTGGTCCCTGCTGGGGCACCTGCAGGACCCTGAGCCAGGAGGAGAGTGCTGGAGAAAGGGAACCTTCCCGAGTCCTGTTTTGGGTGCTTTAAGCACTGCTTGCAGTCCTGCTGACAAATGGCTAACCCAGGGGACATCAGGCTGCAGGGAGGCAGAGGATGCCTTTGTGCCCTCGGGTGAGGGTGGGATTCAAGTTCAGGTCTCCTATGCCCCAAACGAGTGCTCTGATAATAGAGTTATTTCAGAATAACTGAGTGTGGAGGGAGGAGGATGAAGGGAAATGATGGGGGAGATCTTCCAGCTGTGGTTTCAGAGCACAGCAGCTGCTCTGTCTGCTAGTGGAGCCCCATCCTACATGTGTTGTGTGAGGCTTGTAGATTAGGTCCCTCTGGGGAGAAACGCTGGCTTTAAGGGCCCTTGGGCACAAGCTGGCTGTGCAGTCCAGTGTCCCACTGGTCCCAGTACCACTTCGGGCACGGGACAGGTTGTGCAGGTACAGGAGCTCTCCTGCTGACCACAGCAAACCCACAAGGAGCTGGCGATGTCTCTGCTCTCCCAGGAGCTGCCCCAGCAGCAGATCAGGTACAGCTCACCTGCCTAACAGCTGCAGGATGACTTGGGTGAACAGACTGAACTCATTAGCCTTCATCCATTTAAACATCTAGGGTTTGAATTGCCATTTCACGTGTCGTAAGCATGATCATGTGGCCTGTCTTTTGCCGTGATTTCTTACTTTCTTTGTTAATTTTATTATGTCTAATAAAGTGTTTTAATTTCCTCCAATTTCCATATTGTACTGTAGCTAAGGAACGGAGATAAAAGGAGCTACAAGAAACTTTGAATAGATAATTGGTTAATTAAACAACTTAACTGGTATGTGGTTTATAACATATTGTTCTCACAGAAGCCACAATATGGTGAATAGCTCCGGATAGGTAATTCCAAGTTCCAGCTTCCTTGTATGGGTAAATGCTATAAAAGGGCTGGTAATTGTGAAATTCCTCAAACAGTTAAGCTTACTTTCTCAAAAAGATCCTAAGTGCCTTGCATTAAACCCTTATCCAGGCTGTCAGAGGGGGAATCCTGCTGAAGAACTGATAGCTGCAGATAGCTGGAGGGGGCACGGTGGTGCCTGGGGGAGCTGGGGGCCAGCAACCCAAGTGGTGTCAGAGAGCCTGCGGTGAGGGGCAGGGGTCACAGAGCCAGGCGTCGGAGGAAATGGGAAGGGAAAACCTCCTGGGCCAAGGAGGAGCTGTGCAGATTTTGCTGCAGCCCTGAAATTGATGATTTGCCTGCCTAAACCAAGTCTGGAACCACGGGTCTCTTTTCAAAGGCACCCTGAGCAGGGGAAGAGCTCTTCATCAACCTTTTAAACATTCTCTTCCATCTGATCTGCTCAGCTTCAATCATTTTCAGTGTGCTTTATGTCTAATGTTTAAGCTGGGTCTCCTTTGGGCCCCCCGGATCGTCCTCAAAGCCCTGGCAGTTGCAGGGTAACATCAAGCTTGTACCAGGCAGCCGGAGCAGGCAGAGGTGCTCCTGTTTGCTGTGCCGCCTGCTCAGAAGTGCCCTTGGGCTGCTTTCCTAAGCCTTAGCTCCCCAAAGAGCTGCTTTGACACGAGCCACAGAGAGCATCCCTCCTGGTGGCTCCAACAGGAGAAATGCAGCTCGCGTAGGATGTGCTTGAGCACCTGCATTTGGCATTCTGGTGTGTCCGTGTGTGCACCCCGTGAACCCTACCACGGTCACTTCAGCAGCCGTTTAGACACCCGGGTCTCACTGGCACCTGCAGCTGGATGCTGCCCCGAGGGTGTCTGGAGCTTAAAGCAAAGCCCACCTGAGTGCAGGGTGGCTGGGACTGCGCATCTCCACCCCGGCATGAGACGAGACATTAGGCAAGTGCTCTCTGGAGGGAGCAAAATGGGACCAACAGCTCCGCTCAAAAACAAATAGAAAGAGAAATAACAGGGAACACTGGTTTAGTCCTCAGTTCCAGGTGATTTCAGTAATTGGAAAATCATGGTTGTGAAACAAGTCTTTGCCGAGCATCATAATCAGCCACACAACTCAGCAGGGCCTGAGTGCAGCAAAGTGGCTCTAAAGACCCCGTAAGGAACGTGCGTTTCTGGGGGGCAGATGTGTCATTTTGAGAAGTCATCTCTAGGAGCAGCGATTCCCTCTGAAAAACAGTCCCCAGGACCACAAGGATGCAGTGATTCATGTAATGCTCGAGACTTCAGCCGGCTTGCTGACAGACACTGTCACTCCAAGGTCTAGCTGCTGGAAGTGGATGCAGCGAGAATCCAAACTGTAAATAATGTGCATTTTTTTCTTCCACAAGAGCAAAGAAAAAGGCTCAGAGCACAAGTAAGAGCCTCGTCTCCTCGAGTCTGGGAGATCTGATTCAGAGGAGTGCCATGGGCTTGCAAGGAGATGATTGCTCCCACAATTAAAGCCAAGTGCGTGCTCACACTGTGCTCGAGTGACACCTACGTGGGGGCCGTCTTCGAGTGATGTATTCTGTTCACGCATACTCCCCTCCACGTTATTAGGTTTGACTCAGTGCTTTAAATTCTGCTCTGAGCAATCCATAATCTCCAACC